AGGACGAGATTGGGGCAGTTAGCTCAACTTTTGTGGTTAATTGCTAACTCAACCCAATTGATTTCCCACAAGAAACAAGGAAGGACTTTGAATCAGAAAACTGAATATCAGTTTATATGATAACCCATCATTCATGGGCTCCTATCCCTGCTGGAGTCAGGGATGTATCAATACAGCGCAAACACTGCATACCTGCAGAAGGCTTAGCTTTTGGAACTGAGTTCTAGTTGTGATCCTGTGGAGAGAAGTTATTAAAAGAAATAGTCTCTCCTAAATGAGGAGCTAATTTAAATCCCCTCTTGCATTGAATACACAAAGGAAGCTCAATGTACTGTCCAAGTTTTAAGGTACATTTCAGCAATGAGTAGAACAACCTCTGAAAACTTAAACAAACAATATACTCTTTAAAAATACAGGTGCAAAATGTTTTGTTTTTTTTTTTTTAATAAAGAAAGCAAGCTCCCAAGAATCAATGTGAGATAAAAGAGAAAGGCACACGGGGAACATCACAGGTTGCCAGGAAGAGAAGCAGGGAGGCAGCAACATTTTCTGCTGTGGGGTGTGTTAATCTGTTGAGTTACCATCCAGGGAAATGGTAATAACTTAGGCCTGGTGTCAAGCTAGGCTGAACTAACACTAAATGGTAGTACTGCTTTGATGGAGACACTTTTCTGTCCCCACTGGGCCCCTCAGTGGCAGCCTCAGTAGGAGGAGAAAAAGTAAAAGGATAAATTCCCTTGCACAGCACAAAGCACAATCTTCAAATCCATGCAGCAACCAAGTGCAGATAGAGGCAAGGTCTCTACCCTTTCTCTTTCCCATCTGATTCTCATTCAGAAGCTCCATGACCATCTTAATGTGGTGTTGTCAACAAGGTGCTGTGAGTCAGGGTATGTTAGCTTTAGCCCCTGGTGACCTTGGAAGCAATGGGACACAGCTCATCTGGCCTTTGCAGTATCCCTGCTTGGGAGATGGAGAGCTCATGTCCTTTGCTATTAATTCTGCTATGCCTTTTGCTGCTATCAAATCTGGGTTTCTGCAGCTGTATGGTGGCCAGCCAGGCCATTGCCTTAATTTTGCTTTTCCCCTTTGTATCCCATATGCAGAGAAGCAGAGGGAGCTGGCTCGGAAGGGCTCCCTGAAGAATGGCAACATGGGAAGCCCAGTTAATCAGCAGCCCAAGAAGAACAACATGATGGCACGAACAAGGTAAAGGACTGGAAAAGCACTCAGCTGTGCTCTAAGCTGCAATCCCTAATGACCTTAGGATGGGCAAGGATGATGTTCAGTGCTATTCCCCTACTGCCAAATATGCTGCAAGAGCAGTGATGGCCCTTCCTGAAGCTGGCAGGCCCAGATGCTCTGTGCTGTGTTGCATCCTGTCCCCTGGGGAAATGCAGGGACAGCTGGTCTCAGGACTGGTGACAGTGCATCCTGAAGGAGGCAGAAGCAGCCCAGCCTGGTCAAAATCAGGGGTTTGATATGGCTGTCTTGTATGTTCTGGGTAGCCTCGCGTAACACATAATCCTGCCCGCAGGAGAGTGTACAATGCTGCTTCATGTAACGCAAACTGGTTTAGAGCTTAGTTTTCCCTTGGCTGCTTTTATCCCTGTAGTTCCCCTGTTCCTTTTTGATGATGACCCCTTCCCCATACTGACTGACTTAACAAAGGCTTGTGAATAATCCATCTCTGTGTGCTTTGCTATACACCTCCTCTGCACTTTGAACAGCATGGTTTTACTTTGCTAGAGTTGCTTTGGCACATCTCTATGACAGCATCAGACAGTACTACAGACCACTGTAAAAAAAAAAGATGTTCTTGTCTGAATACTTTCCTTTAACATATTTCTATTTTTTCCACACAAGCTTCAGTATACCAGTGTATCACTTACCTGCATTCAGGAGGAAGGAACCCCCCTGAGTCCACGGGATTGCATGCTTTTCATGCTACTAGAAAGGTGGCAGTTTTTAGAGGAAGACCTCACTTTGAATGACAGCAGAATCTGCATGAATGCTGGGTGTTTATTGATGAATGAGAAAGTTGCATGGATTACCATATATGAAGTAGAACAGGAGCTGCAGGTCAGAGCCTCTGTATGCAACACATCTGACGGATTAGGTTCCTTGTTCACATAAATTCCCAAAACCCACAATAGTAGTCATGAATCATGCCAGGACTTTGTCAAGTTTTATTTGTAAGCCCCTGCGATGTTGTTGGAATACACTGCATTGCTCACTGCTCTGTGTTTGGCTGTTGAGACCATATAAAGGGGCCAGGCCCTTAGTGGCAGCAAGAAATTCAGCAGATGTTCTCAGCTGGCTTTTCCATGCTTCTCCTTGTCTTCCAAATACAAGCTGGAAAAACTTGGTTTCTTTTGGCAATAGGCTACACGCTAGCTTTCCAAGAGGAATGGTAGCAAATTTGCTGCTTGAGAAATTTAGAAACACTGAAATTAGTGGAGGAAGATGGTAAGGGAGAGAAGATGGGATAAGTACAGGTGCCTACCTGTAAAATTAGTGACTTCTGCTTGGAGAGGCTGCTGTTTCTGAGCTGCTGATGGAAAGAAGAGTGATTTGGGTGGGAAAGGGCAGAGTAGTGACACCCATCGACAAAAGCTTTTCAACAACCAGCTCAGTTTTATTCCATTTGTGGACACCTGAGCACTGTTCAGAGGACATGTGGACGCCTTCACAGCCAAGCGAAGCCTGCTGGCAGTAGACTTGCTTTTCTTAGTTACTTTTCACAGAGCTTTTAGAAGCATCCCTTGGGATCTGCAAAACAGAGGTTTGCAGCCATTGCTTTAATAGCAGATGTAGCTCCATTGTTCCCATATGGCTGGGGGGTTTCTGGCAGGGTCTCACTGGCCCATGTCTCTTCATCCCCCAGCTCCCTTGGCTTTCTGGGAACCAAGCAGCACCACAAGCACAGCCCTAGTAATACCTCAGAATGGTTTGATCTGTCTTGTCACAGACAGGGCAACCCCAGGAAGGCAGAAATGCCACAAGCTTGTTCAAGCAGCTTCTTTTCACAAGATAATGGCTGCAGTACAATGGGAGATACTCCAGTGGGATACACTGCAAAACGTCCAGGTTATGGTAGTTCTTTAAGTCTGAACTGTTGCCTTCCTCTGGTCTCTTCAGGAGGAGAATAAGCTAAAGCCATTTCCTTTTTTTTAACAGTTCTGCTCTTCTCATCAAATATCTTTTCCTTCATTCAGGCAAACCACATTGCCTCTCCTAGTCTCTACTCCACCTCCCCCTCCTTCCCCAAGGCTTCTGTTCTTCTGTATAATCTGTATGAATTTCTGACATCCAGCCTCTAGTACTAGGTTGCCTTCACTATTTGGTCTTCTTCTGGGGCAGGGGCACAGACAGCCTTAGAGGTGAAAGGATCTGAATCCATAACACTCTCAGTCTCCCTAAGAGCAAATAAAATGTGAACAAGGTTGGAGTAATACTGGCATACTCACTATGAGCACTGGCAGAGCCTACAACACCATCTGCACCACTTCCACACAGCCAGATATTGTAGCCCACTCTGAGGATAACCTAAACTCAGATTTTATCATAACATATTTCATGTTAAGTGAGCAAAAACACCAAGACAAGAAGCTCATACTAGGACACCTGCAGATGAAAGCAGCTACGACTGCAGTCTGGCTTTGTTCTAAGGACAGTGGGAAGCGAAAATAAGGACAATCAGTATGCAAGGGAAAGATTTAGATCAGGGGCAAAGGCATCTTTTTTTTTTTCTGTTGCAGAAAAATTGAAGTTCTGTGTTATTAAAAGACAAGTTTCTTTCTCAAGAAAAAAAAAAAGTAGTAATTTTTTTAATCAATTAAATAGCACCACAAAGGGCTCTTCTCCTAGATCCCCTGATAGCGCTTTGTTCACTCATGATATAGTAACAACCGTCAGTGAGTATATATGGAGCACTGAATTGAAAACTGGAGAACGAGCATGAAAGTCAGTACTTATATGTGTGTGAGCAAGCTGCTGCTGCTGCCAGATCACAGCTTCAGTTTTAGTTCCAGACGTCTTCTTGACTTCCTTCCTACATGCTTTAGGAGCAGCATCTCAGTGCTATGGGAAGAGGTATTGAATTTTGCAAGCGGATCCTATTTTCTCCAGTTCCCTGGTGGTGCAGGTTGGAAATTCTGCATTAGTTTCAAAATTAATTCCTTTAATCTTGCATTTCAATGAACACATTAAGAAAATACAACTAGTCGTGAGCCTATACATCTGCTCTGTGATAGCATTTGATATATTTTACTGTCCCTGAGCCTGCAGGCCTTTGTATTGACAAAATTGTAATGGCTTCCTGAAATTTTCTGAGCAGAAGCAGAAGAACATTGCAGGTGGTTAGAGTGCAGTTGGAGCATGGATGAGATGGATTATCATCTTTAGATTTATATTTTCTAAACTCTTAGTGAAGCATCACTGTGTGTTGTTAAAGACCAGTTCTTCATTTGGGAGAAAACCTGAGTTAACTTGCTGAACGAGGAGATTTTCATCACTTTTACTGTTCCCACCTGCTGAATGTAGAATCTTCTTTCATTTGCTTGGTTTGGTTGATCTTATTTTAAATATGAACCAAAGTCTTTATGCAGTTTTGTGGATGAAAGAACTCTGTTGTGAACTGGATACCATTGAATTAATGTATTTTCCTTATTCTAGAAGCTCTGAAGCCTGTATTCCATTACACAAATTCTCTCAGGCAATTAAAGGTGCAAAGTCATCATCAGCCTTTGTAATACTTCTGATGAAGTGAAAGTCATTATAAAATAATGGGATATAAAAAGTGCTAATCTGACTGGTCTCTTACACTGCACCCACCAGCTCATATTTCTCGTATTACTAAATTTAGGAGTGACATCTCAAAAGTGCCGTGTTGTAGGGGCTGGGTCGGGACTCATACAGAAAGACCAAATCCCTGATTTCCAATAGTAGAAGCACTGAGCCTCTGCCTTCCCCTAGTCTCTTTCTCCCATTTACTTATTGCTAGTGTCATGTACTCATTGCTAGGGGAAAAAAAAGCAACACAAAAATTAACAATATCTGATACGACAAGCAGTGCTTGCTGAACAGGTTCTCTAGAATGAAGTGTGGAGTGTTCCAACTGTTTTTTCTTCCAGGGAGGAGTGTGTTCCCAAGGCATGTCCAGTGTTCATCCCTGTGAAACTGCTCTGAACAACCCAGAGACACAGCCTGCTTCCTCTGAATTGCATCCATTTAAATGTCTTCACCAATAAGGGAGGACTTGCAAGGAAGTGAAACACGGAAAAGCCTAACTATCATATGGCTTTGCTCTAGACTATGTGTGGTACTGAGCTTTACTGTGTGGTTAACGGACAACATTTAATTATTTCAGGCTCGTCGTTCCCAATAAAGGCTATTCATCATTAGATCAGAGTCCAGATGAAAAGCCACTGGTAGCTCTGGATACAGACAGGTATGCAAAGTGTTAATAAGATTATATATATTACGGTGCAAGCAAGTTTTCATGCCGGAGTGCAGCAC